TAATGTAAGTCATCTATTCAATTTCTTAACTTTGAAATAAAATTAAGCATGATTTATACCAAGTAATGATAATGGCATCAATGGTGATATTTAAAACAAATATTAATAAAATTTGGAAACATCACACTATTTTCTAATTGAATCTATCAGTATGTTATTTAAAATCATCTTTGTTTTACAGGCATAAGAGTTCAGATATTTTGAAAATGAGTTAGTATTTGAAAATGTCAGAGAAAAACATTACAAAATGCAGTTAGAATTCTTTTCGCAATACTGACTTTGTAATGAATGATAACGTGAAGAATAAATCTTTCTTTCTTTCTTTCTTTCTTTCTTTCTTTCTTTCTTTCTTTCTTTCTTTCTTCTCTTTTTGAGAAACTTTCTGTGTAGAACAGAATGACCTGAATCTCACAGAAATCTTTGTCCCCCATCCTCCTGAGTGCTGGGATTATGCTCTTTTTGCCCAGTTCTGCTTATTTAATTTTAGTTTTGTTCTTCTTAATTCCTATCCACATTCTCTGGCACCTCGCATTACTAAAATAAATCATATTTAGGTTTATCAAAGTGGCACTAAGGCAATCAACATTACAGAGGATGAATGTTGGAAAGCAGCTGTACTTGCTTATGAAAAGTATATGAGATAGAACTGACTCACAGGAAGGGAACTCCAGAAACAGCCCAAGAAACATCATATTTATTAATTACATAAAATATGAAAGATGTTTTTATACATATAGATGTCAATTGACCCCAATTCTCATGTAGAAGGTGAGAAGGTGAACTGCATCCTTAGCCTGAATCAGAATTTTTCATACTCTAGAAAATATGTGTTAGTGGGGAAGGTCATTGAAGTGAGTCCAGAGACGAACGTTTTCATATTTGATGTAATAGCCAGGTGAGTGCACAGATTACAGTGATAATCAACCATCATCCTCAGTATCAATTAGCTTCAGAATATTGATTCTCACTGAAATAGCAGGGAACTCCAGAAACAGCCCAAGAAACATCATATTTATTAATTACATAAAATATGAAAGATGTTTTTATACATATAGATGTCAATTGACCCCAATTCTCATGTAGAAGGTGAGAAGGTGAACTGCATCCTTAGCCTGAATCAGAATTTTTCATACCCTAGAAAATATGTGTTAGTGGGGAAAGTCATTGAAGTGAGTCCAGAGATGAACGTTTTCATATCTGATGTAATAGCCAGGTGAGTGCACAGATTACAGTGATACTCAGCCATCATCCTCAGTAGCAATTAGCTTCAGAATATGGATTCTCACTGAAATAGCAAAATATTGGATTAAAAGTTCCTTTTGAAGAAGCACTACAGAAAATCTTCAAGGGAAAATCATTTTGAGGGAAGAAAGATGGACTGCAACCACTAATACTGAGGAAGCAATATAAACCCAGATAAATAGTAAAAATTAAGTAACACAATTCTTTCCTTAAGGTTGAAAAGCAAAATAAAATTTTCCGTACTATGTTCAAGGAAATAATTCAAGTGTCAATACATTTGCAAATAAAATATATTAGATTTATGTATTGAGTTGACATTAGTCACATGATTTGTCCTTTTAAAATATATCAGAACCACCATAAGGTGAATGGAGGGCATAATTTAATAAATTACATATGTGATGTAATACAATTGCCATAGAATTAAATGTATTCTAAAATGCATTTGAATTAACCACTTCAAATTTACATTATCTGCAGGTGGATACCAATTCAAAACAGAAAAATCAAATACATCTGCAGTGATGGAATTTATTCTCCTGGGGTTTTCTGATGTTCCCCATCCACTTACCCTTAACTCACTTCAAAGTTTTCTAGGTAATATTATTTGGCTAAGGCCATGGCTCCCTATCCCCACAAGTCAATTACAGCCACTCTTTGATCTCTTAAAGGGAGACAAAAACGCAGCCTCCAGACGGTACCTAAACCCAGATGCAAAAAGGGCTCTCCAGATGATTAATAGCCACTTCCAAAAGGCATCACTAGCCAGATATGACCCCAAGCTACCTGTCCAGCTCTTAATATTTAATTCCTCCCCGACCATGGTAGGAGCGATTCATCAACCTCACGGAGTACTAGAACGGCTTCACATGCCAGTAGGTGGCGCTCCTCGCTTTCTTACAGAAGTGGAC